TTTGTAACAAGTTTGTTTTCAAAGCCAATGAACTTTCAAAATTCACTGGCTACAAAATACCTTTGTGATCAATGGACTGATCTTTAAAGAGTGGGATTTGACTCATGAGAGTGCTGTTTGCATGCTGTTTCCTGTCAGTTCAAAGCCCTTGAAATCCATAAATCCCCTTTAAGCTGATCTGTTAGGGAATACTCTAGTTTGAGTGGGGACATAGTGATGAAGCAGTGCTTAAGGTTACTGTTTCTCTGACAGCATGTGATAGATCACACTGAATTATTATTGAAGTTACTGTACATTTAGATAAATATGGTCTTTGCATTTAAAGCTTATTAACCTCTTAAGCCCCAATGCCCCCTGATACGGGGGCAAAAGGCAGAAGATGAGTTAGGCTTGAGGCTTAGGAGGTTAAGCAACAAATAAGTGCATGTGGCGTAATGCAAGCAAAATCCCAAACGTAGAGTGCTGACCAAGCATTGTCAGGTATGAGGGGTTGGTGGAGCACTTTTGCAACTGATTTGATATAACACTTCTGCACACATGACTCAATACAATGATTGCATGTTTTCAGCTGAGGGACCCTTTCGGTATGTATGCAGCAGCCCACTAGCTTGGAAACAGAAAGGCATTTGTGTGAGCAGCACTAATTAGTCTCTACAAATTCTATTTGCAGCTTTGCCACCATGGATGTGGAAAAGTAAAGACTAATTGAATGGAAATAACAAAAATGCATTTTTGATTTTTAACACAGGTAGTCTTAATTTTAATGTTTCGCTTTTCACATCTTCAAATTGAAAAGTTTAGGGCAAACTGAAGATCAAAAAGAGGGATCTGCTGGAAAATTCAACATAAACCAGAAAACCATCAAAGTTACACCAAGACTGTATCAGTATTATCTCTTCTATTGTGTAGATATAAAAAAGAGAGAGCAGACAAGAAAAGAAAATGTGTCTGGGGTGTCTGATGAGCAGCACTGCTGACAGGAACAGAATGAGCAGTATGGACAGGGTGATAGCTTTGAGAAAAATAAGAAGAAGCTTGTCTCTTTGGGAGAGCCATTGATGATATTGACAATCGAGGGGCTTACCGCAAGAAACTCACCAATCTTTCACAAATGCATCATGTAGATTATGTGCAATATGGTATTCTTCCATTTGAAATTAGCCCCACTTCTACTAGCTGTGGGCTCTTGGTTTCTAGGAATGCCATTTATTTGAGTTATACCTATGTAATGTAGGAAGGCATGACAGTGCATAGAGTAAGGGATTCCTGGCTTAAACTCACTAGCCAGCTAATGCCCGTCTGTGTGGCATTGCCAGTTATCTCCAGGTATTCAAGGTTTCTTCTATAGTCAAAGATATGCATGTCAGGTTAACTTGTCCATAGGTGTGATTGTGAGTGCAATATACCTTATAGAAAATAAACAAACTCAAAGGCTTACTCAGCATTAGGAATGGCCCAAAAATTGATTATCCCGAGTCATATTTGGTATGGTTATCTTTTTTCTTGACACAGCCTAAACTCTCTTAAGCAGGCTTTCTTGTACTTCCTTAAAGTATATGAATCATTTCCAAGTTTTTTGAAGAGAGCCTTTTTGCTGACTTTTTTTCCGTTCTCTGTCAAGATGAAAACATGCTGCTTCAATAATGTACTATTGAAAAGGTTCCTAACTCAAGGAATGAACCAATGTTGCTTCAGCCAAATCTATGAAAAATGCTAATGATGACACAATTAGTCCAACATAAAATATTATTTTTGCATGAGTGATGTGATTCCTAATAATCTATTATTTGAAAACTTAGCATATCTCAGGATGGAGTACTGTTGTGTCCTTAAAATCTTAAAGGAAAGTGGACGAGAGCTTGGAATTAAAATTGTTTCCTTTGAATGTCTCTTGTCCTCTCAGCCTTCCCATCCTGTCCTTTTAACTTGTCTCAGTCTGGGTCTTACATTAAGAATTTCTTAAGCTGCTTGGTTTTCACGTAGATATTTCTGCACAAATCTGTTACCCAAGATTACTCGACTGTGACTTCAGTGTGACCTCAAGGAATGACATATTAGCTAGTTTATGGAACAGTTTAAGTAATTTATTTTTATTTATTTGTATCATGCTTTAAACACAATGATTTGTTAACTACCCTGTACGCAGTATTGTATTGACTATTTAGGCTGAAGCTGAAATAAGATTTGACAGAGATAACATGGTAAGTTGTGAAGTGCAACATTGAGTCAATAAGACAAGTAAGCGCAATTCAGCTTTCCATCTTTATGCATCTATTATTGTTACAGATACAATAACAAAAAACACAGAAGTTCAATGTTTGCCCTGACTGACATGTAACTGTTGTAGTGTGTGGACACTGCAGTTTAGACTGAGTAAAGCATAAATACAGGCTGAAATTACGGTTTAATTAATAATAGTGTAACATTAGCAAGATTTGTTTTAAACATTGACAAACATTTTTCAAATTTACCTTTAGTACCAGCAAATAAGCTTTATGACTGAGAGCTAGGGAGGTCTATGAGAAAAATGTGAGGAGCAAAGCTTGAACTGTAAATGCAGAAGACATTTCTGGACATTACAGAAGAAGTCCTATTTTGTTATGACAACAATGCTAACAGTGGAGTATGTGGGCATCCTTTTCAGCTCAAAGGCTTCCTCTCATGCTGAGAAGCAAGCACAGAAAGCTCATCAGCCTAACTGGGAAACTGGATCAACACCTAAACATTTTCTTTAAGTCTGGTGTTAAGTATTTTACCCCTCCGGCTCTCCAGTGTAAACTATTTTCTCATGGTAGCATTTTCTCATCATTATCCCAGTACTTTGTTCAGAGCTACACCTCTGTTCCCAGGCCAGTCAGCTTATGGTTCAACGTTGCCTGTGTCTCTATTGATGATGCCCTGTGAGCTTACAAGGGCCTGTGAACAGACGGTCTCCCAGCACAAGTGGATAGGACTGTCCTCTGGGAAACATGGCACTATTGCTAAGCTGTTGTTCAGCTTTGGTAAATGGTTGAAGAGAAAACAGAAAGTCTTTGATAGAAGATGTTCCTGTGAAGAGAAAAAGGGAATTCCACCAGTTCGGCATTCCAGTTGTGACCTTGCATTATTAATATCTCCTGTTGAACTGTAAAAGGCCAAATAGTTTTTGAAAAGTAATAAGTAGATGTTATACTAAACACAAACGTGTTTGCTAAAACATTATATTGGGTGGAATGACACAAAGCAATTGCAGCCAGCTGGAAATGAAAGCTCAGGTCATTTTTGTCTATGCTGTAAGACTGCAGTGTTTCACCAGCTTCACCATGTGCATAAATGGAATAAAACTACAGTAATGCATTGCTTACTGTCCCGTTTTCTAACTCATTATAAGCTGCAGGTCTTTTGTCTATGCAAACTCACTTGGAAGTTGTATAATGGAGAAAAGTCACAATGGAGGTAATTGATTTGGGAAATGATCTGTGAATAACTTGTTATGTTTATGGTTGTGAAAATGGTGCTGCTCTGACCCAGATTCATTCCATTGTGTACTTCATGAAGCAAATATAAGGTGCTTTTTCAATGTACCCGAATCTGTCTATGGAATATATTTGTCATAAAGACTTTTACACCGTGTGAAAGGATAAGAATAACCAGTCTCACAAGCTTCACCACACCAACCTTTCCTTTAATAAAAATGTCATGATTTTTCTCTTTCAATAAAATATGTACATCTCTGGAGTCACTTGAATTGATATAATAATTCAGTACATTACAACATATATACATAACAGAGGTTACAGTCTAAACCATTAACAGTCAAATACTCAGATGAATGATTTTCTTATCAGTTTCAAGTGTTTAATCTCAGGTTGAAAGACCTGAACACTAAAGTCTTCAGATAAAGGGCCGACGCATCAGCACATCTAATGTGCTAGCACCCCCTTCAGTTTGAGCACTGTGATGTCCAGTGTTGGTTCTGCGTTTAGTAGGAAAATGCCCTTGTGCATAAAAATAGATTAGACAGAATGAATTCACTAAAATAGAGATTAAGCAGAGGAGAGGACTGTAAGATGTTTATTTCATATTGCTCTCAATCCAGTCTTTAAAGCTGGCTACATGTGTGTAGACTGTGTAGAGGTCAGGATCACACTCCCCTTGGTCATAGCCAAAGCTCACCAGTCCCAGGAGTCTCCACAGCCTTTTGCTCTCCCCTTGCGCCTGTGCATAACCAGGCTTTCGGTTATCATTGACTTGATTCTCAGAGAGGGCAGGGAGGACAAGAATTCCCCCAGTGTCAGAGGGACATATGTTAGATGGTCCATAGTCGGGCTTTTGGCTGGCACACAGCATATTGTCTGTTACACTGACTGGCACACCATTACGAGCGTATTGCTGCTCACATGGGACTACATCAGCAAGGTGAACGAGCCCAACCCTAGCCTTCTCATCAGGGCCTAAACTTGACTCGGGCATTGGAGACCAGCCCGTCACAAGTCCTTGAGTTGATGTCAAATCTTCTTCCTGGTTTTCTGACAGGCACAGAGGCAGGACTTTTTCTCCAATCCTTGCCTTGTCCAGTAATTTGATCACAGCAATGTCAGAGTCAAGAATATTGGGGTCATAGTTTGGATGAATAACAATGGAGGCCACCTGAAAGGAGAAAAGACATGCTTAGTTTTATCAAAAGGGATTGTGTGAATAACAAGACTTCCAAGAGCTTACCCGCAGGTGTTGAACACCTTTGGTTTCCCTGTCATCATCACGATAGTGCTTCCCCACAACCACCTTTATTGTGGCAGTGTCCAGGGGAAAAACCTTGCCCAGATCTGTCACACAGTGAGCAGCTACGACCAGAACCCTTTGGTTAACCAGAGCTGCACTGCAGACCAGCTGCCAGTGAAAAGCCTGATTGTGTTTGCCAGTTCCTGCTCCACCATCCTTCTTCAGGGACCCTGTCTGGCTGTCTGCCTTGGTCACCTTGGTCTCTGTACCCTTGGTGGAGCGGCGGTAGATGGCAGCCAGCCAAGGCCAGTGAGCCTCTTCTGGCCTCTCTGTGTCAAAGGTTGGATGCTTCCCACACACTGCCAAAGAGGATGAGAGGTGAGACCATTATCAACGGGACAGCAGGAAAAACAAGACAGGAGAAATTGAAATTGCACTGAGGTTAAGTCAACATTTTGAGCTGTGGGACTGCTTTTATTTAAAGTAGTAGCATTGATGGAGCAGAATATAAAACACTTAAAGGCTACAGAGCCATGTGAAATGTGACTCCCTGAAAGAAGAAGTGAGAAAACGTCATCTTTAAGTACACAATTTGCACATAACATAGAATGGTACCTTGTCTGTATACACTTAAACACTAAACACTAATACCAATTCACCAGAATTACAAAATCAGACCAAAGAAGCAGACTATTCAAGGATTTTATTCATTGATCTGGTGTTGTTTCTTAGCTCAGTACCATATAGCACCATATAAAAATGAATCTTCCTCCAGTATTTATTGATGTGTTTTATTTAACATTGCTTTTTTTCCACATTAGTAATAAGGAAAGTTGTTTTTAAAAAAGGGCAGTCCATTTTGTGATTGTTACCGTACAAATCTCATATCCCATAGAGAGGGAATTCAATTTAAAAATGCAGTAAAGAAAATAAAGAGTAATAATCTTGAATAGTAAGATAATAAGTTGTTTATATAGGCGTATATTCACTACATTCAGTATTTAATTAACAGCTAGAAATATTAACAACTTTAATAATGCATGATACATATATTTATATTTAATATAACCAGCTCATCTTCACTGTTTAATATGATGAAATAATAATGTGTAGATAGCAGCATTACATCAGCTGTGTTTTAACTTTGCTGTTATAGTCTTCTCCACTCTAACTGTTTATGGAAACAAGAGGCATTAGTGCTACATCTGACATCTTTTATTGAAAATTCTGTCATTGCACCGATGTCACAGCTGTGCTGTACATACCAGCTTATGAATTTGAGCTTAGCTTCTTAGCAAGCTTTCACTGAGGAGTAAAAAGGCTGTGCAAAAATGCTTTAATCAATGTCAGCAATTAGAGACAAGAATGCTTTTAGAAGGTGCTTTTGTATATGATCATCAAATATTACTTCATTATATAACTTGCCATCAAAACGCTATGTCTAAGTTACCACATCATCATTTTTAATGTCTGCACAGGATTGTTATGTGGGTGTAAATCACTGTATTAAAAATGTCTGACAACTAGTGGTCCTCTGCTGCCCTCACCTGGTGAACAGGAGACATGGCGCCCGCTCCATTTCCCTGTCTTCAAGCAAGTCCGACGTGGACTGCCAAAGTGGTGGTAGTACTGAGATGCACACTCATATTCTATATGTGTGTAAAGATGATGGAAACCCTGGGGCAACTGCGAAAGCACCAGGGGGGCTTTAGTGGGACTGTGCAACTGTGGCTGCTGGCCCATGACTGAGGAGTAGAGCTTGTGCACGGGTGTCTTTCTGAGGGGGAAAATATGCCAAAGGTATGTAGTAAATGCATTATATGAGTCCTTAATATTAATTCTTCAGCTAAATGGCATACATACCTACACAATACTATATATTTCTGGTTGTCAGTTATTCTATATAAGATGATGTTTTAATAATCATACCTGGATGGTACCTGAGGGGGCAGAACTTTTTGTTTCACCAGCTCTGAGACTTTGGGCTCACGACATGCTGCAAATAAACAAATATGTTTAAAAAACCCATTCATATGAAATATGCACAAAAAATTCGAAAAAGTGACACTACATGCAAGCCAACCGGCTGCTGGTTGCAGTATTTTTTCTGCTAAAGATGCATGTGGAATCTATCTGTATATGTAACACTTAGCCAAAAATAAAATAGGAGCTTTTCCCACAATGTTAAACCGTCTTCTTAGAAATTCATTTCTAAATTTTAAATTGTATTAATAGAGGCATGTTTTGCATGCTGTTTCACATGGCCTACTTTGGCTGTGCTTGTTTCTTTAATTTATTCATTAAAGCTGTGCCAGTGGACAGTTTCTCCACTTACCTCTTGGCAAAGAGCTACAGGGCACCCAGGCCAAAATCTATTAAGAACTAATTAATATTTACAACTCTAGCCCTGATGGATCATTTTACTGCCAGAACCCTTTCATTAATAACATTTAGCATTAGCGTTTATTCAGCATTTTCAGATTATTGACATACAAGCCTGTATATCTACAACTTTAATAGACTGATATAACATCCACAACCATCTATTAACTGTTCATTTTGTTCTCAAACACTACAGTGTCCTCTAATGCTTCAATATGTCTGAAACCTACACATCAGTCCAGTAAAAAAAGAAAGAAAAAATACTGTTTGCATATGCTTAAAATTTTTTTTTTAACAAATCTCCAAACAACAAAATCTTATTAATTAATTCCATAAAAAGGCAAAGCAGGCACTGGTACCTCTGACACAGAGGGGCTGTTTGCCACTCCATGTGCCATCCGGCTGGCATGTGCGTCGGTCATCACCACTGAGCGCATAAGATTGATTGCACTTGAACTCTACTGTTTCAGGCTCCAAACCTGGCACCACCTGGTGGTAGCCATGGTAAAGGCGAGGTAGAGTTGGGCAGCTTTTTTCTGGACAACAGAGAGTGGGTGAGAGTGAAGGCCAAATAAAAGCAGATAATTATTCACTCAATTATTCATATTGTCGTCATTGATTCCCTTACCGGTGAAGCTTTGGTTGTCTTCTCGCTCCTTTTCTTTCTCTTTTTCTTTCTTCTCTCTTTCCACCTCCTTTGTTTTCTCAGTTGAATCCTTCTCCTTTTCATCCTTCGCAGTTGTTGATTTTTCCTTCGGTTTCCCACTTTCGGCTCTGTACAGGGTGATGTTGACACGAGTTGGAATTATTTTCCTCCCTGGCGGTAGAGACCCTATGGTATTATTTTCTTTACTTGTGCTCTCAGTATCATGTGAAACAGTGTTGTTCTGTGTCATTTCCAGTTCAGGCATTTCCACTGTGTTTTCACCCTCAGATATGACCGTCCTGAGCTTGGTGTCATTGGGGCCCACTTTGTCAGGATCTCTTTTCCCATTCACCTGTTTTTCTTTTCTTTCACTTTCTTCCTGTCCTTTGTCTTTTGTCACAGGGACCTCTGTAACATCTGTCTTTCCCTTGTCAAAGTTTGTGTCTTCTTTTTTTTCAGGTTGTTTTGGTTCTTTCTCTTCAACCATGTAATCTAGGCTGTTATCTGGGCTTTCGCTAGTCACTTTATCTTCCCCACCTCCAGATGGCTTCTCTGGGCCAGTATTTCTCTCATCTACCTCTCCTTCATTCCTGCCCTCAACCACAGTTTTCCCAGGAGTGGTCCCATTATATTTATCTTCCCCGTCGACTGCTGTTGTGTTCTCCTGCTCAGTGTTTACATCTTTTCCGGCAACACTTTCGTTTTCGCTAGCTGTGTTCTCTTCTTCTTTCTCTTTAGTTTTACTTTTATCTTTGTTACTGTAAATATCTGTCTCTTTGCCCTTTTCTTTTACTTTGTCCTTTTCTGCTTCATTAAGAGTGTTATTCACTGTGAAGAAAAACATAAAAGAGATTATTAAGAGCTCATAGCTATTCATTGTACATTGGCCTGTACGATGAATAGCTCTAAGGCATTGAGTCATTTTCTCTCATCTATTAACAGCTTACTATTAAAAAAACCCCAAAATGACTCATCCATCTCCAGTCTACAGTTATTAAGACATATTTTCCAACCTTTAATGCAAACAGGAGAAGTCCCACTCCAGGTGTTATTGGGGAGGCAGGTTCTCTGAGAGCCCCCACTGAGTTCATATGGCTGGTGGCACAAGTACTGTAAGGCGATGAGAACATCATTGGGCCCATAAACCAAGAAGTGGTCCCCATTGGCTGGCTTGGGTGGCAGAGCACAGACTCTTTCCACTGGAACTGAAGGGAGAAAGGAAAAAAAATCATATTTATTTTCCATGAGCTAAACCATTTTTGAGGCAATATGTATGGCATCCAGATGCAAGCTAAAGACACGCATACTGTATGACTTTCCCAGATATGAAATTGTAATTATTTTGAAGAGGGAAAAAACCTATTTGTATTATTATCCTACCACAGTCTGGAGCAGGCGCACTCCATGTTCCGTCACTCAGGCAGATGGCGTGACGAAACCCCTTCAGCTCAAACCCAGGGTCACAACGAAAAGTGATGCGTGCACCAGAGTGATGAAACAGACCCTCTGTAGATCCGTGGGTGGGCACCGGAGGCCTGCGGCAGCCCACCACTGACGAGAAATACAGACATGTGGGGTTTATTTTTATACACACAAAGTTTCCCTTTTTCCGAACTAAATGTCCAGTCATCAAAATTACAACGCATAGGAGGCATCTCTAACATACCTCAACAATCAGTTGAGACCACACAAACAGTTTCAGCAAGTTCTTTCTTTTCCTTTCTATTTACAGGTCAGACAGGTAGTCCATAAAGCAAAGACTCATTTTTTCTAATTCAAAAGGTTCCTGAGATTTAAAAGCACTGCCTGCTACCTCAGAGACTCATTAATAAATAATTTCACTCATCATCGCAAAGTGCGAACAGTTAACAGCATGACTTTAACACATGGCTTGTAAATAAGGAAGAAATAGATGCAATAAAAGCCCTTTTAGTCAAAATGTTCAATTTTCCACTGCTGTAAAAGAGATTTTTAGGAAGTCGGATAGTAGAGACTGGTAATGTGTTTATGGAATACTGTGTGCAACTGTCCCATAGAAGAACCTCTTGCAAAAATAAAACAGTCTGGGGAAAACTCTTCTGCATGTGGACTGTAATCCTTAATCATTAAGCACAGCTGCACATATGCACACAAATGTTGTGATAAAGGCCTGCGAATGGGTTCGCAAAGCATGTGTTAAGACAACAGTTATCATATCTCTATGAGGCTGTCTTGGGAGATTTGTTATGTTGTTGACTTTAAGTGGGATCAGATCCATGAAAGGCACTGTCTGTGGTTTTTAAGCTCCAAACCAAAGAACCCTCCCTATAATCTTTATAACTGAACGGCATTTCCAACCTTCAGTCTTTTAGGGGATAAGGAATGCGCTTGGCAAACCAAAAGTAGAGAAATAAACTGTAGCTGACCTCTTTTGAATATGTATAAAAAACCATGAAGTGCCCAGAGGTGCCGTGTGCATTGTTGCTCTTTTCCCATGTCTTTTATATACGAATGTTTTCAAAGACAAATCAAAATAAATGTGGAGTCATTAGAGTGGAATGCTAACATATTACACATCACAACATGTACTGTAAGTAAATCATCGTTTCTTTCACAAGTTCTCTGGAAACTGAGTTACTTACTGCATACTGAAACTGATTATTGTCAAAGATAAATTCAACTGACGCTGAGAGGGAAAAGAAAAAGAAGAGAAAGCATTTCCTGTTTTTTATGATAAAGTGTCACACTGTCTCGTACCAAATGAGTTTTTAGCTTTCGACAGATGACAGGGTGATTACAGAAGGCATAAAATATGGCTAAGGTCAGGTTCATATTTGAAATTCTCCATCAGGCAGAAATACAGACTACATTATCACCACAAAATGTAAGGCATTAACGTTGCTGCAGCTCTTTTCCATTCAAATTAACAGCTGAGGATTCCTCGTGAGAATACAGATGAATTTTTTTTTTTTAAATGGGTGTCTCCTCCAGTGGAAAATACTGTCTGTTGTTATATAAGTCGAATTGTTTCACCATTAGTTTTATGGACTTGAAAGTAGCCCTGAAAAACAACACCAAAAGAAAAAATGTGGAATTCACCAAGTCTGCTTTTGCAGAATCTTAAAAGAGGTGTATTGAATACAAAAACACACCAGACATCTATAACTAAAAGACCTTGTAGTGCCTTGTAGGCAAACTTAAGGTTTGGTAACTTAGGTGGTATAAAGTGGCAGTACAGTAACAAAATGTCTTGACAATAACCACTCGACAAAATCTATTCTGTGTTTCTTCTCCTTGTCCACTTCCTCTTGCTGCCTTCTTTCCTCAGTTAGTTTCTTGTCATTTACCCTATTTATCTGTCAACAGAAGAAAATTGCTTAATTTTGCACATCTATATGTGTTAGGTGGCCATTTGGGTTTTGCTGTTTCTTCCAGTGAAACTTGAAATCAACACATATGAACACAGACAGTCCTGACCGTATGACTGTAGCAGGCAGCTGGCCTGATCTCAGTCCAGACCACAAACCTCTCCCTTGTGAAAATGAATCACTGCCTGCTTTGGGGCAGCAACAACAGTAAAGAAAAGCCTCAGGGAAGAAATCAATTCTCTGTAAATTTGTTGTGACTAGGCGTGCCGATTTTCAGATGAAAATTACTGAAATAATTTAGGGATTTTGTAAGCCTCAGTACATTAAGACGCATGTCTTTCCAATGCCTCATAAGATGGAAAATAGACTGGTTTAGTCTTTCCTGTGATTAAAACATGCATGGATCTTATTTTAATTTCCAACTTTAATATATTTTCTCCAAAATATCAGTATTTTGCTCACCAAAGTCCCCTATTATGTTACAGACTCACCATTTTCACACCTCTTGCCTGTGTAGCCAGCCAGACAGGCACAGTGGTAAGAGTCAGAACTGTCTAGGATACATGTCCCATCATGCAGGCAAGGGGAAGAGCTGCAAGCTGTGAACATACAGGCAACATTAGGGTACAAACAGAAAGACTGTCTTTATCAAAATAAAAACATAGAAAGCTGAAATGTGTGGCTGCAGACGTCAGGCTAATCCAGGAATCATACTCAAAGCTGAAATAATTAAAACTTCATTTCCAAAGCCCACTGTTTACTTTTACTACATCTGGCTTAGGCATTGGTAACATGTGTGTGTGTCTGTTTTTGAGTTCTAGACCTTGAGAACGAGGGCATTTCTGTGAAGTGAGGGCATTTTGGTTTGTAAACAGGCTGTTAACAGACTCAACACCCATGACAAAGTCTTTTGCCAGAAAATGTAGGTGCTAGTCATGCACTATTAGGAGCTTTTATTAGGTACTGGACACTAAATACCATGGAAACGTCTTTCTTGTTTGTATTTGTTGTGATTCCAAAGAACCCCGTTGTTCATGAAGGGTTTATAAACAACTTCTTATCTATTCCCTATACAAAAGCAAAGATTCCAGGTCAATCTAAATATCAAGATTTTGTTTTAGGTTTAAAGAAAATAGTTTTCTTTCATGACGACTCATTTAAGAGGGCTTAAGATTTGCAGCTGGGAAGTATGGTACATTGGCAAGGGTACTTTAAAGCAAAGGAGAAAAGCACTGTTCTTATAGTAGAAGAGATACTACTTTGTTATGTAACCTACCTGAGTTCTCTTGGAAAGTGGCAAAGAATCCATCAAAATTCTTGTAACCATCAGACACAAAGAGAACATGCAAACTGTTGCCAGAGCTGTGAACTGGTGCAGGTCTGTTATTCCCACAGTATCTACCGATAACACGCGAGTGGATACTGTCTCCATCTCGGACTTCCACATAGTCATAATGACAAGAATGGTGAAACTCCAGACTCAGCATCATGAACCTGCAAATACAAGAATCGTGGCAGATTGAAATGGCAGAGAGTAGAACAAATGACCCAAGGCTATCAACCATCTATTCTCTACTGCGTATCCAATCAAGGGTCGGGATGTGCTTCAACATTAGACTTAAAATTTGCTATTCATTATTTTTGTCTTGATGCTATTTGTGTCCACATGATGCTGATGATGTGAATAAAGTTAACAAAATAATTACAGTTCTTAATGGTTTTCCTTTCCATCTCACTGAATCTTATATTTACAAGGTAGCACAGCATTTAGAAAGCTAGATTTCTGAACTGTTTTTGTTTTGTTTTTTGTTGTCAGATGCAACTAAGTCAGATTAAAAAGCTTTGTTGTAGCCAGTGTTGGATTTAACGTTTTCCAAAGTAACACATTACTGTGTTTTACATTTAACTTTTCATAAATACAGTAATTTAACGCATTGCTGTACTGAATTCAGTAATCACATTACAGTTACAAATCTTGCTACTTGTGTTACAATCTTGTGTGAAAAATCTTCTTCAGTTATTTGCATGCCGGGCAGATAGAAAGAAGAAAAATCAACCAAACATGCTTTTTTCTCCCTGCACATTTTTGCTACAGTCAGCTGATATCAGGACCAGAGTGCAACAAAAATAAAGTGCAAACCACATCCAGGGCAGAAGCAACTGCATTGTACTGCTAACAGAACTTCAGCTCTTTGCGAGCTTCTGTACAGACAGCATGCTAACACAAAGCTAGTCAAGAACCCAGACTGATGATAAAGCTGAGTGCATGCTGACCCCAGCCCAGCAGCCAGAGCCTGAACTTCAATAGGCAGCAGAGGCAGCAATGAGCTCACAGCCTACATTTCTTCCTGTTCATTTTTATACAGTAGAATCACTGTGGCATTTGCTTTGAATTATCTTTAGGCTAGTTTTAAAATTTATTTTTGTGTTTTCATCTTTGTGTTCATGCATAATAACTAAAAAAAGATTTTAAAGTAAAGGGATTACTAGAGGTCATGTCGGATACAGGCAAAAGCAAATCAAATGAGATGCCTATTATTAACTTTGTGGTTTGGGTGAGCCTTGAAACCTCTAAAGAATGTTTGAAATAGTAAAGTTCAGTGTATCGTGAATGCTCATTATTTGCATATATCAGTGCCATTTCATTATTGTAATAGGCAGGATGTATTGCTAATAAACAGTGTAACCCATTCCATTTCAAATCAACATACTGTTTTGTTTGTTTGTTTTTTTCAGAGAGGAAATTACTAAGTTGGTCAGGCAGAAACACATTTTCCAACAGTCGGTTTAAAAATAGAAACGCACTTTGGTTAAAGTTATTAAAATGTGACAATGGCTGCACTTATATTGCCCTTCAAGAAGGATTTGGCCCTTCTCTTTAGTTTGTCACATGCATCATGGCTGTAAATTTTAATGAAGCACTTCATACATAGCTTTAAAAAAAATCCTTGCAATCATTAAGTCTCTTTCACACACACTTCAAGCCCAGACATCAGGAACTGCATGCTCAGTCTGAACCCAGCTGTATGGAGCTTTTGTTCTTCTAAAAACCTGCACAAACACTTGCCCATAAAATCTGTATGTGTAATGGAGAAAATGACAGAAATAGAAATTTATCACAGGACTGAGAGGCCATAATCTTACCAAAAAAAAAATGGTGTTATGGTTTCCAAACCTCCAAACTCTTTGCCATCAATCCTCAACATACATCTTCCAGCTGAGTGGAAATTTGACTTAACCAGGCCAGTTGATAATATTTACTGCAGATGGACAATGAAGATAACTGAGGATTGAGAGCCAATCAGACTTGACTGGACAGACTCAAAGCTTTTCTGTATTTATAATCAATGGTTAAATTGATATTAATTATTTTTTTTACAAGCTGGTGTGCAACAGTAGGATGGTTTTCCAAGGACTTTCAGGTAGGAAGCACTTCACTACTGTTGACAATCTGAAAATTATTCATAATAACTGGGTCATTGTTTTTTGTTTTGTTGTTGTTGTTGTTGTTGTTGTTGTTGTTGTTTGCTTTTTAACACCTTTGCTTTTGAGCCCTTAAATTTATTATTGTAGCACTGCTGCAGGCTGTCTCTAGGAAGGGTAATTATGACCCACCAACAATCATCAATTCTAAAGAATTTCATTTAAAATGTATTACTGTGCTTGGCACTAATGTTGGCACATCATACAAATCTTCACGATAAAACTGTCACTATATTTATCAGATACAGTATTTATGGAAGTGAAGCTAAAACCAGGGCCACCGGTGGATTTACAGGTCATTATTTCAGATGAATAAGACTGCCATCACAAAATGTAATCACAAGTCTCGAGCCACCCTTTAAGTGGCTAGAAAAATGGAAAATAGGTGCTGCAATTTATTGAAATTTGTACAAGCGTATAAGGAAATACAGTGTATAAGGCAAAAACAATGAGAGTAGTTCTCCAGGCTTCTTGAAAGACACTTGAAAGCTTTTATTTTATTCATATATTTTTTTTTTTGATGTTGGCTACCTTTCTCTGTCAAGATGATCACATTGCAGCAATAAAATTGAGGTCTGGGCCAATCTGTGACTAATAGTGTTTCTTTGTGTTTTATCCAGGTATGATTTTACTGTATTGATTCTGTTTAGGAAAAATGCTCAAAACAATTGCCAGTCAGATGTTTTCCAAATTCTGTTGCACGTGTCTGGTCTTTAGTGGATTTGTTCTTTTCCCTTAAGACATGGACTTTCCAGATACTGTTCATCTGCTGCAGAGAGATTTCTTTTTAGGCCTGCCACTTCTTTTGCTGCCCTCCACTTGTCCAGTTTCCTCATTTTTTAGGACACACTGCATCATGCTGAGGTTTGCCAGGTTTTCTGTAAACATCTCATAGTTGATTCTCAATGAACCAACTTCTAAACCAACTATAGTTGGTTCAGAAGCTCTAGCTTATGACTGGAAAACTGTGTTATCTTTGACATTTTTCATATATTCAATTAAATAAACCAGTTGTGTGTTTTTGCAGCAGGTTGCTAGTAAGTGCCATAAGATACGATTTAAAATGTTTTCTTTGCTAAGTTGTCTGTTATAGATAAACACATAACAGACAACTTGAGAAAGGCACCAGACGCATCTCTCGAATCTGGTGCCTTTTTATACTTGAATGATTCATAAAAACATTCCTGTGAAAATTAATCCCTGTCTCTCTTCCGCAGCATGTCTTCTATCCTGTCTTCCTTCTCTCTCCCCAAATGGTCGCAGCAGATGGCCCCGCCCCTCCCTGAGCCTGGTTCTGCCAGAGGTTTCTTCCTGTTAAAAGGGAGTTTTTCCTTCCCACTGTCACCACTGTCATATGATTGTTGGGTTTTTCTCTGTATGTATTATCATAGGGTCTATAGGGACAATGTAAAGTGCCTTGAGGAGAATGTTGTTGTATAAATAAAAACTGAATTGAACTGAAAATAGTTAGGTCGAGTGACTGGACCGAAAAAATGAAAAAGTAGCCAATGTCAAAAGAAAACATTGAAATGATCATCAGAAAGCCTGAAGAACTTAGCCACAAAATACAAAGAAGAGTAGCTTAAGGCTTTTGCATAGTTCTATAACAAAGGTACTACTAACTATTCTAAAATAACACAGAGGAAAATGAACACCAGTAACTACCTACAGAGGAAAGTATCTTAATATCTTACCTGAGTTCAATAGTAAATGGCCTGTCCACCTGTATGGTCCACTCACACCTAGCATTGTTGGGGTAGCTCTCCAGGACCAAGTGGCCCTGTCGTTTATGGATCACCCCTCCACACTCTGGAAAACACAGAAAGTTAATTTTGAAAATATTGATTTGGGCAGCTACTTCAGTTGCTTTAATTATTGTTTTGAAGAGCCACTTTCAAATGCTTTGCTTAGCATTAAGACAACAGTAATTGCATTTAGACTTTCATAGTCACTGCAGAGAGCCTACACAGCAACATAAATAAGGATGATCACAACACACACACACACAAGTTGAACAAAGGCATTCAGCAGCTTTGGAAGGTTTCTGCTTTTAATTAAATGTATGTTTGTTGTGCCCGCTGGTAGAATATTTGCATTTAAAAGCTAGACCCAGTGTCCAAAACTAACATCTTAAATAGTTTTATAGGATTCCTGACTTGTCATTTAGCTCCTTATGGAAAACCTCCTGGGCATGACTGCATTCCAAGTTGGCACAGCTTTCCCAAGATGGAGATAAATCAGCAGAGATGGAAAAACCATATAGTACGTGGTATTCATTTCACTTAAAGTAAAACAAATGATTTAGAGTGAAGCCGTAGGATCTGTTAATGGGAAGGATGAAAAAACTTACTCATGCAGTCTCCACCAGACCAGCCAGGTCGACATTCTGCGCAGTATTTGCCATTAATGAAGAAATCATCCCTGGGGCCCCATGTCCCATTGTTGCAGCGTTTACAGTTCTCAAATATGCTGCAACCTGAAAGACGAGAGCCAGAAACAAAACTACAGTAAAGTAGAAGATAAAGGTGGATAAATGAAAGCAAATAACATTAATTATCTCCCGAAGATGTGTTTGTATGTAAGAATAAAGAAGCCTTTATCTGAATGGCTTATGCTGTATTGTTGAATTTTAACAAACCCACCAACCCCTAAAATGTTCCCTTTGCATCAACTCTGCTGAACTCATTAAGGTCCTCTTTCACTGCAATAGAATGTGAAAACATATCGCTGCTTCCTGAAATAGAAATGTGGAGAAAACCTGTTGAAACAGTTTTCTTTGAGGCTGGATTTTCACTTAAGAAGCTGTCCCGTCCATGGGGTTGTGAAGAGCAACATCTGACCCAAGTGGAGGCATGGATTTTAACAACGCACGGGCCGGGGATGTGCATGTGGAGATTTATGGTCGTACGCTGAGGTTGGAACACTTTTTTGTGTGTGTTCAACAGTTAAAAAGTAATGTACAGGCATCCATTTAATTCTGAACAGCTGCTTTCTTCCCCCATAAAGGAAAAACTCTACATGCTTGAACTATGAAAAAAGGCATGACATACCTCTACAGGCAAATGGCATGTAAGGAAAAAAGAGGATTTGGAGCTGCAGCAAATGCAAACTCATCTATGTGAATAAAAAACAAAAGGATCTAGTCTGATTTCATTCACAAATCAAAGCTTTGAGTGTGCTCATTCACTCCTGAATCCTGTCAGCTTTCAGAGGATTCTGCCAGTCAGTCAAGAGAAGAAGCCAGTGTGAAGCTAGCCTGGAAACAAATTATTTTACACACAAATGCAGAAGTTCTTTTCAGTCTTTCTGTCACGCTGTCATGCTACAGTGCAAACAGCTGCACAGATGATAGATAGCACTTGGTCTTGCACAAACAACATGGCAGATACTCAAGATATTCACGAAGGTCGCTCCAACAGATGCATACTTATAAGGCAATGCTCGATATTTTAACAGCTTCTTTCAGTGAAAAGAAATAATTCGAGATTTTATTAGATTCATAGTATTATTTAATCAGAATGACCTTGGTTTTACCTGGGTGGATAATGCAGGGATCACACTCGTTGATGGCATTCCGGCAACAGGGTACTGCATAGCCTACTGGAGTCCCTTGGAGGGGACACTTACAGCGAATCACATCATACTCGCAGCATCCTCTGCACATAACATTCCACTCCGGACCTGGACAGTGGTTGTACAAGTGCCTGTAATCTAAAGAAGACGATATCTCAGCAAAAAGCAATTTGTTTGTGTAACCTTCATTTCATTAGCAGGGACGATGAGTCAAAATTAATAGTTCACCTTTTTGCAAAATGTGAGCAGAAAAGGGTCACTGGAAGGATTCAGTTTAGTGTTTATTTGAGCCACTGTCTCTCTAGTTATTTCCACTGTCACACGGTTTCTCGCTCCTTTTTAGGAAACCACAAAAGTCTCAGCAGTTTACCACCACTGTGTGTTATTACGTCAGACGACATGCCAAAATGGTTAAATCACCGTCATGGAAAACAATACCAAATCATTAATCAGAAAGTGATATATTAACTCCAGTGTAAACAACAGCCTTCTTCTTTGTAAAGTTTTTACCTAATAAATGTGACATTTTATTGGACTGGAAAACACTGATTCAAAGACCTTTGAGTTAGAGCGGTTATGATTATGTAATAGTGGATTTAAATGCTGAAACAGACAAGTGGAAATTCTCTTGTGGCAGATGTGGAGAACAAACCAAAGCTGCACTTTAAACTTGGCACATTGTCACTACAACATTTTGTGCCCTCTCCCCAGCCTGCAGTCATAATAGCTTCTTTGCTCTCAATCACTGACTTTTTATTTATAAAGTGATAGCTGAACACTGGCTCTAATTGTTGTTTATATGTCAAACCGGGACTCTAATACACAGACCTAAGTGCACAGACACACAAAAGCAACTACAAGTGTTTAATCTCTCAGTGGCTGGCAGTCGAGAGGCAAGAAACACAGATGTTTAGACTCGTCTCTACTTTCTTTTCTCTAATGATATCATAAAATGTCGCTCTGTCCATCACCGGTCTGGCTTCCTCTCCAACTAGAAGAGATATGGCATACATGGTGATATTAATCAAACAGAAAGCAGGTTGGGCAGTGGAATCCCAGCGGACGTTTTTAAAGGACAGAGTTTCATCTTTATAAAGCCATTGCAGTTTTTTGACTCTTTTATGTTTTAGTATATGGGCTCAGCTGGATTTGTGTATTAGAAGTGAAAGGATGTTCAAAAGTCCTGAAAGAACATGGTCTTCTGAGGCCTACTTAAACTGCTACAGATCTAAAAACAAAGATAATAAAAATGTTTGGGCCACTGGGCTCATTTTCAATCAGTCCTTTGATTGTGTTACCACTCCAGCTACTAATAAAGCTTTCTTGAAGAAAGAATGCCAAGTTCCATCCCTTCAACACTGTCCTTGTAAATCAAAGCTGATGTTTATGCATGATCTTCTTTGTTTAACTTGGACTGTCACCCAGAGACAAAAAGAAAAAAATAGAAAAGGGGGAAAAAGAAAAAGTCTCCTTCTTTCCTCTCAGACTGACATGTTTGTGGATTTCTTTTGACCAAATGTGAGAACCACAAAATTCGATGGGTTTAACACTCATTAGGACAGTCACAAAGACATGTTTTTAGCCACAATAAGCAAACAACTTTATGATACTCTAATTGAAAACTGCTGTTTCATAAGAATGTTTTCAAAAAGGTATTGCGCATGTTTTATTGGGTAGCTTTTGCTCAAACGCCCTTAAAAAGAATCCGAATTGTTTCTTTCATTTACTGCATGCTTGTTGTTGTTTTTTAACAAAAACTGGAACGAATCACCTTTATCGATACAAAAGTTCATCCTTTTTTTTTTACTGCATAAGCAGGAGAACCCTCTAATTCCTGTGAACTATGGTTGTTTAAATCAGCGGAGATCCCCAGACACTTGATCAAAACAACTGAAAAGATCCGCAATGTGATTGGTTGTGTTGTTTATGTAGCCTTCTGTGAAAATAAATGGCTATGTTAGAAGTATCTGTAACCTTCTGCATTCAGTAGCCAATGGCTCACAGCTGTTGCTACTGCATAACACGACTCCGTCCAAGCTATAAGTAACTATATTTCAAGAATCACTTCAGTTATGATTACAATATGACCCAAACCACAAAATTCAGACACTGGGATTTGTCAAAGTTTAATGCCTGCCACGTGTAGATTAAGAGTTGCTGACACTATCACTCCCTCTTACAGGACAGCTTTTCTGCTTTCATGTTAAGGACAGCGGCCAAAAAGACCATGAAATCTGATTCACAGGACATAAACATAAAAGACACAGAAGCACTTATGAGTGGTCTTGGTAATGTCATTACATGGATCACTGCCATTTGTCTTGCCTTTGATATACTGTAGAAACGTCCGTCATCTGCCCTTAGCGCACTTTCACAAGAATACAATCATTTACAGTGGAATACAACAAAAATATTTTTTTATTTCTTCAGCCAAGTCTGGAAAACATTACTCCCTCTCACCTCAGCAGTCCAGTGACATCACTGTGCATGCATTTATGACAGGATCGGTTCCCAGATTTCCATAAGCTGTGTTCTTTCTGTGCCTACTTGAGGAAACTAAACTCGGGCAGCCATGTTTTCAGTGTTTATACACTGTGACTGAATTCAGTTTGCTGACCTCCAGCTCTGTTGATAAGGCTGTTATGTTTTCACTGAACCATGACTCCGAGGAATCTCCCGCGGGGGTAGGATACATGCTGGAAAGCATCGATATTTTTCTGGACTGCTATGTCCTTTCTTTAAGATGCATTTAGCAAAGCTATTTTTTACATGGCTCTGAGATGAATTTGTTCATTTTAGCAGGGAACCAAAGACTCAAGAGTAAAAATTTAATGTGTTTTTTTATTTTTTAACAGCAGTTTAGGAAGGTCTGAACAGGTTTGGAAGGGTTTTACTAATGTCTTCCATTGCATAATCCTGTCTCCTCTAACTGTTTTACACAAACACAAGCAATGAATGTTGCAACATGCAAAGACCCCTATAATTAAACCCAAGACTGTGGTTATTTTATCTACCCCTTGTCTCTAATCACAAACTGTAGGTGATGACAGTAGTTGTCAGAGAGGGTAGGAAGGCTCGGAAGAAATCTATCTGAAAACAAGGTTTGCTTTTGTGTAATGCTTTAAGGCCGCCTTCCACAATTTTCATCCAGCGTGCCAAATATGTATTATGGTATTTTCGAACATTTCTACATTGTTACATATTTTCCCTGTGCATAACTAGCATTTTCTGTGACAGAAGATATGCAGACATAGAAAGACATTTTAATTTGTCTTTTCCATCCCATATGTTAGGCTCTTAAATGTACTCTCCAACATTTAGCGATGCTACAGAAATAAAAATAGTAATGTTATAACAATAAACAGTCATAACTTTATGCGTCATATGGCACTTTCAAGTGCTTTGAATTTTCAAGGAAGCTGACTCTGCTGCTCACTGTATTTATGTGTATCCTTACAGTGACAGCAGTAAGATCAGGGGTAGAAAGCCTTCCTGTGACCTTGCGTCTGGACTTAATGCCCTGCTGGCATACTTACCTGAGGCTTATCCACAACAACCTGTGATTATTGCCACTTAGAAAATATATAACTGTGATGATATTGTTCAGTTTCATTCTATGTTTTACATTAAAAATATATTCACAGATTTTAAAATGCAGAACCAGCACGACTGATGACTCGCAAGTGACTCAGAAACCCCATCTGCTCTTGAACTGTTCCATGGTTTTGGAAGCATTTTCCTTTGACTTGAGCTAAAAATAAAAGCATCTGCATTGCATTAAAAGCGTTTCTTGCAGCACTTTTTTATACTCTCGTTGACATGAACAAATTAATTGCTGCCTTCAGAGTTTCAGATAACTTATCCAATAAAGATTTAATCTGATCTCAAGACACTATCATAGATGCAGCTGGGCACAATGCTAGCTGTGGAATTTAAGCCAATTACTGTCTATTTTTTTCCTTTGTTTACTACTCTGGAACTCTTATCAGCTTGAGTCTTGCTTCACTCTGTTTTCATTCTAAACCAAGCAGGACCACAATACAGACGGGACAACAGTTGGGAACTTCAGGATGAATCTGACATGCTTAGGAAAATCATTGCATAATAATATGGGTTAGTCACATCTGTTATACATGGTATATCTTTACTCTCATGTTTTGACAGATGTTTTTTTAATAGAATAGTTTAACATTTGAGAAAATGTAAAGAAGATAGAATGTGCTGATTGTGTTTAAGGGTGACAGTATTAGAGTAAATAGTTAGTTTCCTCTTGACAAAATGGAGCTTATTTCACACAGTAATAACTGTTGTTTCTACAGCAGCTGTGAGTGTATGTGTATGTACAGTATTTGTGACTGTGTAATTCATTTCCTTACTGCCCACAGCAGCTGTCTTTTTTGTATTTTGAGGTTGGATGCATTAAGCTATCATGGAACAAGGAAACTCCCTGGGGAGCTCTGTGGTCGCTGTGACCTTGAATACATCCTGATCCTGGAGTGCTGATCCCAGTGGTCATTCTGGAAATAGCTTTGAATAAACTTTCCTATAATTGGAAACCACAACCCCAAAGAAATACACTATTATTCTATTATCAACAGTAGTTTTCTGAAAGTTCAAAGACATTTATAACTATACAGTTAGTCCTTTTTTTTTTACTGCAACTACAAAAAAAGATTTGACCATTACTTACCTAATCTAATTTAGCCCTCTCTGACAAGCCCCACTGCTTTTATTCTTTTATCCAGACAGCTGTGAAGGCATGCACAGGCAATACAGTTGTCAGGCAACCACTACCACACACACTGTATGGTACATGTGCAAAAAGGGTGGGTGTTGCTCATTTGCTCCCCAAACTTGCCCATCTCAGCCTGAGAAAGAACCACTTAATAGCCGACAGTGACACGTTTTGAACACGCACTTACGAATAGATGGATATTCTCCTTTTTCTAAATAGTTTTCTAAAATTGGACTCCTTGGGGTAGTTTTGTTGTAGTTTGACCTTTTCCAGCATGATGTAATTGGTAGTTTGTAGCACAACTCGTGCACTATAGCCCAATCCTGTCATCAACTGTGGTGAATGGAGTCTGAGGTGTGCACATTTGTTTTAAGCATTTAACTATGAAACTTGAATCTGACATGTCACACTAATTTTCCAAAGCCAGAGGCCAGTGTTTTTCATCATGTAATTTGAAGTTTGTGCCATATCCCCCCCACCACACCCCCACCCCTACACACACACACACACACACACACACACACTAATATGAGTTTTACAACTGCTTGCTTTCACCATTATGTCCTACTGCCCAGTACTCAGAAGCTCTTAAATGTTGTATGTTTTAGCTTAACACACAGTAAGGGGAGGGTGTTTGGTGGGCAGAAGATCCTAAGCAGGAAGCCTTGCACAATTCAGAAACATTCAGAGGGAACGCCAAAACATGCGAAAATAAAAAATACACTCACGCACGCATGCGAGCATGAGTGTAAACAAACCACAAAGACAGGACTTGCATGCAAAAATCTTGAAATTATTTTAGGTTTCTCAGTAGAAAACATCTCTCATCAGCTGATTAGACACGATTATATAACAGGCCGTGCTGACAATGATTCAGCTGACCGACAACAACAAAGTTGGTAAATCAGTCAGTGGAAACTCTTTTAATCACTACAGCAGAATGCAGTTGCACTCTGCCAAGCCCTTTGCCACATTTACCAATATTACAAATTGAAGGGAGTGTTTTACTGCATGAGCCACGCAACGAAGAATCAAACAGAGGGCAGAGGTTTGGTTTCGGAGCCTTGGAGACGGCGTATGGTATACACATTACCACGGTCAGCATGATTGTCTCAAACATGACTCATGTCTTCCTGCAGCAGTTCAAGGGTAAACACGCAGAGTAAATCTCAGTCTCTAGGAGAACTCCCTCAGATAACACGTTAAAGGGAAGCTTTTGCACAAAGGAGAAAATGTTGGCAAGATTCAGCTGCTCTATTAGAACTGCAACAGTCTCCCTTCACCACAAGGAATGTGTGGCAACATGCAACTCTTGTTTTGTTTTGTTTTTATTTAGTAACAAAACAACAACCACAGTGAGAAGGAAAATATATGAAGACTCCTAGAGTTTCCCATTTTTTATGAGACAATAAACAAAGCCACACAGGACAGTGCCTTCCTCTGTATTTCATAACAAGAACTTTAAAAACAAACATTACACAAGCTGATCAGCTGTGTTTTTCTTTGCTTGCCTAAAAAAACGGTATAAATCACTGGGTTGCTCTCTGTCACTGTTCAACAAATGTTGCTGAGCGCCGCTGCACTCGGAAAGGAAGAGGGGATGGCAAGAGTGCTGATGCCGGCTTTTTAAGAACAAAGAGCCAAGAGGCTGCGCCAAACACAGAGATAGGAGAGGGAGTAAAACGGAAGAGTGGTGAAGGTAAATTAATTGCCATTCTTTACCGTAGGGCCAGGCTGTCCCTTGGGGCAAGGAGATGGAAATGAAGACAGAGATGAAGAGAAGCCAGTGCCCCTTCCCAAAGACAAAGATGGTGATCCAGGGGATTGTTTGGATACCCCCATAGGTTTTCCCCAGCTGCAATCTCCGTCCCGCAGAAAGCATGCTTCAGTCTGGAACTCTGTTTACTTTCTGAACTCAGCTGACATCACCTTCTCTCTGCCCTTCATTCCTCCCCCTCCCTCCATTCTTCTCTCTCTCTTTTTCTCTTAACTTTCTTTCTTCCTCAATTTCCCTCTCTCACTTCTCTTAGGCTTCAGGTTTCAGCCCAGCCTTGCAAGGAGTTCCACTACCAGTGGTCTCCTGAAAACTCCCCTCGCCGCACTTGGGAGATGACGTCACTGCTCATGAATGAAAGTGAGCGTGTTTTGCTCTTTCTGGTGGCATGAAATGTGACAAACAAAGTAGTGATCAGTTATGTGCTACAATTGATGTCAGCTTCACTCAGGCTCAGGCTTAAAAAATGTTGATGTCATTATTATCACACCTAAATAAATGGGAAAAACAGGGAGTGTGGGATTGTGAGTGTGAGGATGTGATTGAAGGGAAATTTCACTTCTGTGACACAATAATACCCTAAATATTCCAAACACAAGCATCCCATTTCTATGTTGTTTGGAATATTGGGCCCATATTAACTCATTCACTGCCAGCCATTGGCAGTGAATGAGTTAAACCCATTGACTCATTCACTGCAATTGACGGCTATAGACGTCAATGGCAGTGAATGAGTTAATACTGTTTTTGGGCAGGATAAATCTTGTTACACATTCCATACTTTAAACTTTCTGATTGTTGAAATTATTCGGAGTCTACTGTTCTTAGTTTCATGTGTTGTTTGGTTTTACATTCTCAGTTATTCCTAACATTTTGAGTTTTCAATTCTGATTATATTTTAGTACCATTTGCATTTGTTTCCTGAGTGTTTTCAGTCTTATCATGTGTCAGTTCCCCTAGTTTTAATTTATGCATCTACATTTCCTCTTTAGTGCTATTCTCACTCCTGGTTTTATTTTGATAGTCTTTTGTATCCCACCTCTTGTATTCAGTTTTACTTCCTCCAGTGTTTCATTGTATTAACTGCCTTCACCTGTGCTTGTTTGCCGAAGCTGTCTCCACTTCCATTGTTACTTTTATTAAGGTTTGTGGACATTTGTTAATGTGCAGCTGTCTTAATGTCCCACCACAGCATTTTACACAGGTTGAGGTCTGGACTTTTTCTTACAGAAATTCTCCTCCAGATTTGCTGGTGTGTTTCTGTGGAATACAGAAGAGTTAATGGTCAACTCAGTGACTACAAGGTTCCCTGGGCCTGTACTACCAATTCAGTGACACTCAGGTTATCTTTCTGTTATCAGGATTCACTTACCTTAACATTAGCAATCAGGAAAAACAATCACATCAAGCTCGTTACTAATGTGCTAAGTTGGCCCTGCGCATTCATATGAAATGGGTGGTGTTAGCAACGTCTAATGTCTGACAGTTTATACGACTCTTCTTCAACACAAAATTATACCTTTGAGTGCCACCTACTCCAACTACTGTCAGAGACATTGTTAGATGATGATAAAATTGAGATAAATAAAAAAGAGCAAAATGCAACAATGTTGCAAAAAGACACATTAATGCTACCGAAAATTAATAATCTGATTATTTAACGTACAGACCTGTTCAATAAACATTTTAATGAATTACTTATTTTATCACTGAGTCCCCTCTTGGCGCCGTTGTTTATTTCTGCGATGATTAGAGCTTTTAAATCTTTATTTTTGGATTCATTTAAGCATCAAGGTTTACTATCCTCTGCAGTTTGAGAGTAAAGTTTAAATATAAAAACAGGTTTCAAAAATAGGCTTGGTGTACATACAAATTTGATATGAGGTATGCAAATACAGTATAGGTGCAGATACTTACAAAAGAGATCTTACAGGAATGGTGATGCTATTATCTGGAGAACTGAAGGTTATTTCCCATCTGGAACAGAGCCTACTCTGGAGCAGGATAGGTTCACAGTATAATGACAATATACCTCAGTTAGAAGTGAACTGCCTTCTTCAGAGTTAACCCAAGTTACTTGGATGAGCCAGGCATCTCTACTTTTGTCTCATCTGGTTAAAGGACTTTGTCCCAGAAGTTTAGTGGTTTGTTCAAACTCATCTTTGTAAACTGAAGCCATGCTTGCATGTTCTTTTGAGAGACAAGAGGCTTCCTTCTGGCCACCCTTCCAAATAAAGCATACTTCTTCAGGCTTCTTCTAATTGCACTACAATGAACTTCAACATTTAACATAGTAATTGCTGCCTGTGGAGTCTGAAATGTAGTTCTTGGGTTTTTTGCAGTTTCTGAGCTTTGCACGGTCTGACCTTGGGGTGAATTTGCCAGGAAATCTACTCCTGGTAAGACTGTAACATTGTGTTAACACACTTCAATGGTCCAGACCAGCAAACTGCCAAAACCTCTACTTTTACAGAGGTGGTCACACTTGCTGATGTTTAATTAATGGAGTGTATTTGATTAGCAAAACCTTGTTGTAACTTATTCTCTTGCTTCCTATAAAATCAGTAAGGTTGTAATTTGTTTTTTACAGGATTACTTAAATAAACTTTATTTAAATCAGGTTGCAAATACCCTTATTTGACACTTGAAAACAACAGAAAGGTAGCCAATGAAAACATTTTTTGTGTCTGTTTACCATTGCTTTTATTTTGTATCTATTTGGGTCTGCTGGGTGGGTGTGTTTATTTCTGCTGGATGTGACACTGGAATTGATTCATTTGTTGTTCTTTTCCCACATGGAAAGCTGCATGTGAGAGCCCTTGGGGAGCACAGATCAAACAACTCAGAGAAAGTGAATCAAATATCTCTGGCAGTTTCCTGAAACAGCAGGGCTTAAACCACAGAGTGCACACAAACTGTAGTCTATGTATTTCTTTGGTAGGAAAACTGAATAAAGACTGAAATGGAAATAGTTTGTGAAGAAAAAAGTATAACGGCAGTGGGATGAAGAGGGAAAAGTAGCAGAAGGAGGAAAGCAGGAGAAGAGAGTAAAAGGAAATGTATTTGCCTGAGTGCAGTTTCTATCCCCCTTCCACCACCCCTCTTCTGTTTATCCAGATGCATAATAGTTTATTATGTGAAACCCAAGGCTTTGATTGTAGAGACCTACTACAGCTGCAGTCTTCTCTCTCTAGAGAGCACACACTAGATGTGGTATTTAAATTACTATTTTTTTACATAAAGAAAATAACTCAAGTCTAATACTGAATAATACTGATTCTGCAAATCATTATAACACTTTTGTGTGTTTAAGACTCACCCAGCAAGAGTTATGTTTGAAAGCTGTGTATTATTTTAGTTATAACTCTGTATTTTTGTAGTTTTTTGTTTGTTTGTTTTTTAGAACAAACTATATATGGGTAGGTAACAGATAAACAGATTATCTGTGTTCTAGACAGTAACCTGTTCTGTGTCCACTGAATCCAAGTGACAAGTAAACGGGCTGAGATGGTTTAGATATGTGCAGAGGAGGGATAGTGGCAAAGTAGATTTAGTAGTCTGTCTCAGCTACCGCTGCTAACTCAGTCAGCTAATTTAGTGAAGCAGCTTCATTAGCTTATTCCATGTTAGCTTATTAACTGTTTGCTAACCGTATGAGAATGAGAACTGCTTTGCTTTGCTTTTCACCATAATGGCTTGGAAAAAAGACAAAACTAAAGAAAATTAGAATATTTACTGTGATACAAACGATGTCATTATTGGTCAACAGTGATGAAGACTGAGCCACCTGACAGCTGGTGTTTCTGGCTTTTCAATGAGTCTTTAATCCCACTTGCTCACATTTCAAAATCAAACCACGTGCAGTGGGCGGATCTTCATATGTGACTGGACATGAACAAAATTAAAAATCTAAAGGCCAGTTGATTGTTTTTACAGCTTGAAAATAATGCAGATTTTGTAATGTTTTTTTATTTTATTTATGTAATATTTCACAAAGAAATAAAATCAACCAAAAAGAGCAAAAAGAATTTGTTAAACTTTATGCATAATATTCGTGCAACAACCTGTGAGCAACCGATAAAAGACAAGAACATTTTACTTTTACTCTGTTGGCTTTTCTCAGAAGCTAAATAATGTCAGCTGTTACATCAGATCAAAGACAAATATCTTTTATGTTTGTTTATGATTGTTTATGTTTATGAGTAATAATATTTTTTTAAGTAGTAGGTACTTAATATGCAAAATATTTGAAGTTGATCAAAAATAATAAATTGAACTAACTCAAATGGAAGAAAATGTAAGATAAACTTAAGCTAATTGAGTTGGTAAGACTGTTTTTAAAAAGTTACATTACTTAAAAGTACTCTGAGTGTTTGGGTTTACAGTGCAGTAGAAAACATTTAAAATGTTTCCTTCTGTGCTATATCCTGTATAAATGTTTTGGAGTCTGAAACCACTGAAAAACTTTCAGTAAAAAAATAAAATAAAATTTGATAAGCTGATATGTTTAATTTCATTTTGGTCACACTGCCTGACAAACAGAAGCCTGCTCCATCCATCATGTTACTGTAGTCAAGGCATTTTCACAAAAGAAAACATTTTCTCATGACCTAAGTTTATTCTGAACTGCATTTTTCTCAGGTAGCTCCACAGTGATTGTTGTTTATGAATGCCCACAGCACATAGAAAAATCTCATTACCAAGTACATAAAGGAAGCAGTGTAATGGGGGTGCTTTTTCTAGGGGGCATTACGAGAATTCCCATGTTGGCTGCAGTTATGTTACTAAATCTGTTCAATGTTATTTGTAAAAGTTCAGTCTCAGACTGGTGTCTAATTGGTTTATTAACAGTAGCATTAACTTGTGTTTGAGGTCTGAGGGTTCTCGTGAGGTCAGACATTAGGAAGGTGTCTGACTACGGAGACATGTGGTTTTAATATGAGCTGATTTAATCATGACATCACATTTCATTTCTATGGTTACGCAGTGGACAAAGACAGCCCTCCCATCCCCCCAACAATTAACTGTCTGGCCTTATCATGTCCCAGCCTGCCATGTCCATTACCTTACTTTCAGTATGTGGAATTTAAGCCATCTGCTTCGCAGGTAGGCCAAGATGCCAGTAGGAGCTATTACGCAAAGCTAGTGACAATGTTTTCCAGTAGAATGTAATAATAAGGTGCAGTTTAGTAACTTAACACAGCA